TCAGTAGTCAAAGAGTTAGTGATGGTTTTGAGATGTGACTACCACAAACTTGGTGCTGGTCACTGTGTAGGGCCTGGTTCAGAAGACCAAAATCAGATCTAGGGTTTGATTGCTGCAAATCTGAAGTCAACAGCTTTTCAAAGTTGATGTTGAGAACATTGAACATAACTTCAGATTTATCAGACTTCATCTTAAGCCAAAGCTAAAACTTTAGCTGCAGGAATATAAATATGCATAAAAAATGCTCTATGTATAAGTAATTGTCTGGAGATTTGCTTTAAGACGACAGCAAACTACAGTAAAGTAATAGTGTTAGTGGAGAACAGGATTTCTGAACATGGGGCAATATCGTATAACCAGGGTGCATAGTGTTTCTACAATCCTGCTAACTATAAACTAAATAATTAAGGAGCTGCTTGTGTTTAAACTCTGTGAAGGAGTTGCCCAGCTGTGGTAAAGGAAACTGCAACCAATAAAGTACATTTTTTATGAATGCATTTATTTGTGTTTTTCCCCACAAAATAACCCATAAAATGCAATTCAAAACTGTATATTTTGCTTTTTCACAGATGCTTCTTCCTCATAGTGCCTAACAGAGGGAGAAAATACTGGCTGTGTTCCACAAAGACATGAGTCCCATGTGAATTCTTCCCCAAGTCCGTTGGAGTCCTTCAAAAGCTGCAAGGCTGTCTTTCTGGTGGACGAACATTTCATGGGTCTCAGAACACTGCAGGCCCTCTAAGGCTCCAGAGGTGAACTTAACAGTTTTGCAAGTGTGCAGGTTTTATTGTGCGTGTGTGGCAAACTCGTGCATTTTGTAGTGTGAGCAGTGGAAAATGAAAAGAAGGAAAAAAAGATATCCAGGAACACAGATCAATGTAAGCACTGAAATCCTGTATTACTTCGTTCTGCTGTGTATTGTTGGTTAATTTCAGCTGAAGGTCAATAGTCCTCCTGTAAAGCTACTTTCCCTTGACATTGATTGCCTTTGTCTGGAGGGAAATCAATACTTTTGTCATTTAGCAAAATGAGAGTTTCAGATTCCCGTGAAACTCTATCAGTGTCGACACGTCCCATCAGGGGGTTCATCAAAAATACGATAAAGCAACTCAATGCATCACCAGGGATTTTACCTTCTCGGGTAACTTGTGATTTTTCTCATTTGCATTCTAATACCAAGGTGGCTTTTTATTACAGCTGCCACAGGGTATTAGAGAATAAAGCTCTCAGAGAAAGAAGCCATTGTACGGCATGATCAAGAATCATAATTCAAATGTAAATAATTAAAAGATGTCAAGGATAGGGTATGACTTTTTATTATTATGCTTTATAATCTTGGATGATCAAAATATAACTTTAAAAGCAAAATTCGTTACGATTGCATCAATGGTTGGTCGGAGCACCTAGAAATATTTTGACTTTGAACCTATTTAAAAAAAAGTTCTAATAGGACAATGGTTCTCTTTGGCTTTAATGCAAAATGCAAAGAGTTGCAAAGTACAAACAGGAAAAACAAACAATACAGTCCTTTATTAACAAATGAGGAAAAAAAACAGGTTCCTAAGACTGTTACTGATCTTCTTCTCTTTGATGCCTGTTTTTAGATTTTAGACAAGAGAGGCACTCACCTACTGTAAGTGCAGTTTGAATTCTACTGAGTCTGGGTTCGAGCTTGTGTTATGTCATTAGCTGGCTGTGACTAGGATTCCCCTAGCAGTGGAGAACATTAAGCTCAGTGGTTGCAGGATGTGCAGGTCTCTGACACAACTGGTCATACCACATTAGGTGTGTACAACTAATTACAAACACATTAGGTGTGTACAAATAATTAGGGGTTCTCATTTTCTATAAAAAACAATGCATTATGAAGCATGAATATACCTCCTTCACTGCTCAAGGTGGGAGAGATGAGGATGATTCCAGAAAGACTGCATCTCACAAGACCTAGTGTGCATCTCACCTCTGTCTTGGCCTTCTTATTTGCAATAATTATATAATAAAACTGATTTATCTCTCTTCAGCAGGGGACTTAAAGACAACCAAAATGGATTTGAGCACAACTGTCTTGAAGCTTTGTAAATATCTGTGAATGTGATGTTCACCTTAACTCCTTTTCATAACAGAAACTAATGATATTAAAAATGGTAACTCACCATAGACAACATCCTGCGGATGACATACAAAAGACTAAAAGCATATAAAGTATTTCTTTTCCAATATTATAATTTTGTATTGTATGTTAAATATGTTACTTTTACCTTGCAATAAAAGACACTGTATCATTAGAATTATTGTCCTAAGTAAATTTTGCTGATACAAATAAAAAGAAGGTCCCTGCAGTAACAGGATACTTTGTCCTACATGGAGATCTGTGACATGCCTAATGTTTATTGGCCTGAAGTGTCTTTAAAAATCATTAAAAGTTAGTGCTTTTTAGGCTTAGGTTTGTGTTATATCAGGACCTATTCAAGACAGAGATATCAACAACTGTAAACCTCCCCACAATATTAATTCACTGAAGTGCAGGTAGTAAGATTTTTTTTGTATATGTAAGAGCAGTGTTTCTAATGTGCAGAAGTAAAACAGGAATTTGTTGTGTTTTGTCATTTCAAATGCAATTCTGTCTCCACAGAGAGCTTTTTGTTTCTTTTATAAATACGATGAAGCATACAAAACTGAAAGGTTCAGGAAGGGGTAAAATGTAGTATTGCTTTTCTAGAGAAACAAAAAGCAGAGGGACCCATTTTCTATTTTGGACAAAGCATGGACATACCAAGCACAACTGAAACAAATCTATGAACTAGGCTGTTTTCTAATTTCTGATCAGGAATAACAAAGACATATTTCCCCAAAACCTGAATGTACTTATCAAAGAAATCAAAAATAAAAGTAATTTAAAAACTGTACCTCAGTAGGAATGCTTTCTTCCTTAATTTAGACTAAATGTTTTTATGACTTCCCAGAAAATAATAGTGTATCTATGTCTGAAGCTGCTGTTACAATTGCTTTTTAATTTTTTAACATATTCAATTTTTGGATGACTACAAAACTACAGTAGGTGGGTGGTTGACTTCACACCTTGTACAAAAAGGATAATTCAGTATCAAGCTGGAGTACATCTAGACTAGGGAAGGATCACTGTGATACCCTGCTGGTATTGTCACAGCTCTTTTTCTGAAAGATAATGGAAATCACCTCCCGATGACAAATTTATATTTTTGCAGTGAGGAGTTGTGTGTGGGGGGGAGGGGGAGGGGATCTGGCTGAACACTTTCTCCGTCACTGGGGAACTGAGCGAATTTATACATAGTTTAAAAAAACAATGCACCTTTCCAGTAGAGTGGAAATAAAATAATCTAAAAACTACCAAATTTCATGTAAGAAAGAAACAATTTGAAAGAAACAAAATCATTTTGATGGTAGTCATACAACTTTGTGCATGATATCCCAAATTTAATTCTCCAGAAGAAAAAGAGCATCAGAGTGGGTTGAATGAAAGAGTATTAAAGGTAACTCAACTGTTGCCTGAAAAAACATTGTCTGCTTTGTGAGTGTGTGGCAAGAATGAGAAGAACCAAAAAATAAGATCATAACGTCAGACTCGAGAGAGTAAAGCAGTGCGTCTTCACTACTGCATTTGTATTCACTATGGGCTGCAGGGAAGAACTTTCTTCCAGACTTCAGAAACGGGCCTTTCAAAAGAATCTTTTGTGTCCTTGTGTAAGTAGCATGGTGTGTTATGGTACAGCCAACATTTACTGAATTCTGTCTTTAGGTTAGAGTAGGTCCAGTGTCTTGATGACTGATTAAAAATGCTGGTTCCTTAATTAGCTGAAGACTGGAGTCTGGGGATGTGTACATTTACCTGAAGGCAGAGAAAGCCCACTGGTCTCATTGTTGAGCAAGATCCTCACGAGACTGACCTGTATCGCATTTTCTGTATTCTGTCACAACTCCCCCTACCTGGTGCTGCCCCTCCTTGAAGATGGATATGGTGCCTTAAGCAAATCAGAACTTGATGATTTCCCTGTGAATGCCCAAAAGCCCAGAGGCTCATTTTTATTTCCCAGTAGGTCCTAATACAAATCTCATTTATTCAACATTTGAAACATTTTTCTATGATGTAATATTAATAATTATTGTAGATTCAAGCTCAGAGTTTACTATGTGAGCTTACTATGCATTCTAAATTTATTTTTTGTTATTGGTTTTATTGTCTGGATGAATTCCAACTGCCTCAAGAGGCATTGCAGCATTAATATTGACCCTTACTTTAGCTGTAGTTAAATTATATGTTGTTTTTTTTCTTTCCTTGTGCCCTGTTCACTCCCTTTTTGTGCTTAACCTGACCGGCCACATTTGAGGGGTTGCTATACAGTAGTTATGTCAAGTTCTCTGATATATATCCTTTAAAGTATTTGGTTAAATAATATCCAGTGTTTTTGGTAAGTCTGCTATCCCTGGTAGCCATTGTCTTTTATAGTATTGTTTGCAGTTGTCTATCATGTAGAGAGGAAAAAATCCAAGATCTATTGGTCTCTATGGTCACTCCAGAGGATATCCTATATTGCAGTTATATCATAGACGTTTTTGGCTGTTGTGAAAAATTCCCAAATGATTATTTAAAGCAGGAGTTTATATACTTAGCTAGCAAGGATTTGTGTGTATTTTTTCCTGTTCTCAGAATGCCTAATCTGTTTGCTGTTGTCATTTTCTAAGTAGATAGGTTTTACTCATTTTAATCATAGTATGTTGCACTCCACAGAGTCTCAGATCAAGATTTTAAAGAACAGGGGGAGGGGAGTGTGTCTGGTTTGCATGTATGCATGGGTTTTGGTCTCATGATGAATCGTTTCCCTCATTCATTACCTTTTTTTTTCTAATCTCGTCGTCATAAACCCAGCACATAGAATTTATGGCTTAGAGAAATTATGCAGCTTGCAGTATTACAGAGTTGGTTATGTAATGTGATTTATTTCATTGGTTGGCCTACTAAATCAGACAGCAGAGTGAGGACCTTCTGATTTTATTTTCCTCCTTGCATGGGCTGATTTAAGGTGATGCATTTCTTTCTCAAATCTCTTCCTCTGTGACTTTCAGAAACTGTGAGCACACATAAGCTCAATTAGAAAAGACTGGCAACTTCAGATCTAGGCCGCTTATTCTCTAGTATCTCTTTTATTATTTGTAACTGGAGAGGATAGTATTTGGAAACATACAGTATAACGATGTACTGGAAGCATCACTCAACGTGACCTGGCAATAGAGGCGGTTGTCTGGTCACTTTGTGCCCTGCAGGGCAGTCTGCACTAAAATGGCTGGGTGTTGAAGTCAGAAATCTAAAATAAGAAAAGGCAAATCTGAGAATCTGAACCTGGCAATATTACTTTAAAAGGAAGTTAAGACTCACACCCTTAACTCCAATGTTGCCAGGTGATTTTAGAATTATAATTGTTTCATAAAAAAACCCACATACATTTTAGTGCAAATACATATTCATGACTGTTACTTCAAATTTCATATGTATTATGTAAGGACAATACAATTCGCTATGTGTGTCAGTTTGCATTAGGGCATCAGCTAAGTGAATATGTATGAATAAATTAAGGTATTTTGCAATCAAAGGCCCTATAGTGAGGGCTTTAAGATTTAGATCAGTGGTATCCAAGCCTCCCTGGAGGACCTGATACTTATATTAAGAAGTAGATTAGTGACTTAGATAAAGCTTGTAACCAGGAAATTATCTGTTCTAACTCCATTTCCAAATAAGAGTAACAAAAAAGAAGCAATAATGTCTCTTTAAGACGTGGAGTATATTTTAGAGAAAAAAAACACAAATATACAGGATCTTAAATAAAAAACATGTTACACACAGAACAAACAGACATGATGCAGTCCGACAAATAATAACCTCCCCACTTTCCCTGTTCTGTGAATGTTAGTCTCTGAACTTCAGACAAGGTATATTACTGTGAAAGGGGGTGGGAGTACATGAGTGAGAAATGAGAAAAGACAATACAGGTCAATCTCTCACTGAAGCCTCCTCAGATGTCCACCCTGCTAGGGCTGGTTTTTGCTCATCAGGCATACCTAGTCACTATCACTTTGCAGAGTGACTGAGGAAGCAGTTAATTCAAAATGTGACCCCACATGGGTAGAACTATGAAGCAAATACAGTAGGGAACAGCTAATGCTCCTTCTAACTACCAATGAAATTACCAGAATTGGCACTTGGAAAATCAAGACAAAGTACAAAGCAGGCAGAGCAGCCCAGATAGCAAAGGAGCTGAGAATCAATGTGAATCAACATCACAGGTTGGACTGTATGAGATGGTTAGATGGTGAGATGATGAGGTGGTAATCTACTCAGTTCAGGAGGAGGACAATGACCCTCATACAGAAGGAGAGGCCCTCACGGTCTCAAAAGAAACACACCAAGCCCTCATCAGCTGGGAACCAGCAGGCTTAGCGAAAACCATTGCTTTGTTCAGAACTAAAACCTAGAAAATAAGGTTGAATATCATACAGTGCTGTACCCCCACCAACTACAAGTAAAAGGAACCAAAGTGGTACTCCACTATCGATCACCAAATTTTTGGACCCGCAGAAAGAGAAAGATAACAATCCTATTTATGATTTTAATGCTAAGATTGGAGTAAGTGTGGATTGGCTTTGGAGACATCATGGGAAAACATGGTCTTTGCCTGATGAAAGAAAATAAAATTGATTTTTTTTAATTACTTTTGATTTTACTGCCTTCAAGTTCAGACAGGTTAAGGAAGCAGGACCCTTTAAG